CCCCCCCTCACCTGTGTGATAGAAGGAGCGCAACAGACTAGTACATAGTCATCTCAGTGGTTCTAAGTATGGACAAGCATGTGAAGGACGTGGCTGAGTGGTCTGTCCCTCTGTAAAATGTTGGTGAATGATTTAGCCACACATGATCGTAAGTACTCAAGTGTGATTGCAATTTGAGACCATCACGAGATTCATAAGTTGTAGGAGGGCGATGTGATGACTCGGTAGCATTTACATACCGATAAACACATACCCGTTTGAAAATTCCGCGCGCGCGATTTGAAATTTGAATTTTGTTCTCCGTATTTTTTTTTGAAAATGTTTCTTCGGAACGGGTGAGAGTGCCTGGCAGCGCTCCTACCGCGCCTGGTGCACCCGACGCGCCGCCGCATCCTCTGTGAGACGAGGGTGTACATCGCGACGATCGACAGCTCCGACGGCGCGATGTTGTCGCCGTGCTCCAGTGCCTGACGGTCGTCGTATGACGCCGCGGTCGGTGTCGGGCCTTGTGTCTGAGTAGTGCTTCGACGTGTAAGCAATAAAATGAAAAAACTTGTTCCATGATGTTTGCCCCGGCAACGGCGCCGTACTGCGCGGTGTACAGGGCCGCCATCCTTTTGACCAACGCGGTGTCGGGCCTTGCGGCGCGAGATGATGCGGCCTGGTTGGATGTTTTTGATGAGGTGTTGAACTACCAGAACCCGTATTGTTCCATATACTTCACCTGTTGCTCATTGTACTCTCAGAGTTTTTGGGAAAGATATGCCGAATTTAATCTTGGCGAGAGCGCGGATGAGGTTGGCCACGATTAAACGAAAGGGTAGTGCCAAAACACGCGCCTTGGTAGCCAGGATGAACAGGCCGCATTTATTTGTAGTGGAGCATCCGTACGAAAAGCCGCGATGCGTGGGGGTCGCCGTCTCTCTCTCGTGGTCTCTCTTGGTCTCTCGGCGTTCTCCGTCGCGCGACGGGGAGGGGTGGTACACCTGCCGGGCTGGGATGAGGCAAGCTCAGATCAAGGCCGATCCGAGCATGGCGCGATCTGGTCTCGTGCGCCTACTTTTCTGTAGCGCCAGCCACGGCCACTGGCGTCTGTACCCGCCAGCGTCGGGCCAGAAGGGCTCGCATCGGCCCCGATGGCGAGCTCGGTGGGGGCAAAAGAACGCGCCGCGTGTCTGATGTTGACACAAAACAATAGAACACAATTTTCGCCCACAAGTGTCACTCCTGTGTCGTAGCAACAGTCACCATACATAATGGTAATCTGTCGAGCTGCAAACTGTCGCAGAAGGGCTTTGCATGGGGAGGTATACCGAAAACCTTTGTTTTGCAAACCTCATCGCGCAGAGGGACATTGGTGTGTTTTAAACGAGAGATGTGAGTCTGGTGGATGTTCGAGAAAACCATCGTTCGGCCTCGAGTGGAAAAAACCTCTCTCATGCAGTGCACACAAGCTGGACGGCTACGAGAACGTCGTCGCCAAGAGATGCGAGATTGAGGGGTGTTCGAGAAGACCATCGTTCGGCCTCGAGTGGAACAAACCTCTCTCATGCAGTGCACACAAGCTGGACGGCTACGAGAACGTGCGTACCAAGATATGCGAGATCGAGGGGTGTTCGAGAAGACCATCGTTCGGCCTCGAATGGAAAAAACCTCTCTCATGCAGTGCACACAAGCTGGACGGCTACGAGAACGTCGTCGCCAAGAGATGCGAGATTGAGGGGTGTTCGAGAAAACCATCGTTCGGCCTCGAGTGGCGAAAACCTCTCTCATGCTCTGCACACAAGCTGGACGGCTACGAGAACGTCGTCGCCGAGAGATGCGAGATCGAGCGGTGTTCGAGAAGACCATCATTCGGCCTCGAGTGGAACAAACCTCTCTCATGCAGTGCACACAAGCTGGACGGCTACGAGAATGTCGTCACCAAGAGATGCGAGATCGAGGGGTGTTCGAGACTACCATCGTTCGGCCTCGAGTGGAAAAAAACTCTCTTTTGCCGTGACCACAAACTCGATGGCCACGTCGACGTGCGGAACGCGAGATGTGCGTCGTCGGCGTGCACCATGTTCCCGATACTCGAGAGGGGACGCGGAAGGTACAAAATAGAATGGGTAAACAAATGCGGGAGCTGCGTCCGTAGCGAGCACCTCGATCTGCTGAAGAGGTTCAAAGTGAAGACCGAGCACTTTGTATTGGCAGAACTGCAGCGGCGCATGCCCGAGCTGGAGAATAACTTTCTTTCGTGGGACTGCCCTCTTCCGTGCGCGATTTCAACCGAGAGGGCTGACATGCTCTGGCAGATCGGATCAACTTTGTTGCACGTCGAGGTAGATGAGATAGCGACGCACGAGGACGATCGTAAGAGGCTCATGCGCCTCCTGGCGGGAACGGATTCCGTGGATCACATCGTAGTGAGGATTCACACGCACTCGTACGACAACTACCGGCCATGTGTTATCAAGAGTCAGATTAACGGGGAGTGGGTAGTGTCTTGCCGGCAAAAAGAGTCGACCGTAGGATGGACATCGTAGTTCTTGAGATTCGCAGGTTGTTGGCGGCAAACGAGTCTGACGTGAAGGTTATGTTTCTGGATTCAAAAGTCCGGAGTCCGAGGACGCTTGGAGTCGAGCGTTTTTTCAATTGAAACGTCGCCAAAAAGTCAAGATCTTGAGATTTGACTGTTTACTGAAAACAAATCAAGTTACTCCGCCGTTTTTCATCTAAAATCAGATGCGCCCAGGTTTCACGGACCGGATGCAAAAAGTCCGAGGTCGAAAGGACCCTTCTACGCGAAGTTATCGTCGTTTCCGTGATCGCTCCGAATCGGTACTTTTCCAACACGAGAACTCGCCGCATTCTATCCACCGTGCCCCCGCGCATTTGCCTTCCACGCTCATAACTGCGTCACCCGGCCGCCCCAGCTCACCGGAGACATCGCGATCGAGGGCAGAGGCATCAAAGATCAAGTGCTGAACATCTGGGAAGCCGGGGGTAAGTTTTTCGCTCGCGATGAACGTAACCCCTCAATGTCGCCCGCAGCTGCCGTGCGCCAGCCACTGGGCGTTGAGCGTACGTGTTCTCGACCACGAGACAAGCCCCCGTCTCCCGAAATCGTCCGCAATGTGCTAGGGTATAAAATGAGATGACTATTGCGCTTCAGTTTGTATTTCCACAGCGTCGTTAACGAGCCCTGGCGATGGGGCTCATCTGGGCGAAAGCTGTAGCGTACGGTGTTTAACACCCTCCCGGCGCGCGCGCTCTTTTTCTCGCCGCCTGGTGGTGCCGTGTACGCCCCTCCCCACAAAGTTTGATATTTTGTGCTCACCCTCACCCCCCCTTGTGAAATATTGGGTTTTTGTGGGCGCACCCTTACCCCCGGGGCTCATTCGGTCGAAAAAACAGCTGTTTTTGCAATTGCACGTGCGGCGCAACCTCCGTTACTGTTCGTATCTCGCCGCCAAATTGTCGGATGAGGCTCATTTTTTTTATTTTTCCAAATACAACACAACGAGTCCATTTCCATTTTTTCCTGGAAGATGCGGACTCATCACCCCGTCAATCCTACCCAGTATGAAAACTAGAATTGAAGATGCTGATTTTTAAAGGTCGATTGAGTGTTTCGGGTGTAAAGTATAGACGTTTCGCTATACAAAACCTCACCATTTCGTCCGCTGGCCCTGAAACTTGGCACAGAGATGCGGCTGACCTATGCCGATTTTTTGGCGGCAAAACGAAGGCAATCGAAGTTGATGCCGAATTTTGAAGCCCGATTGAAGATTTACAGCAGCGTGTGTACACTAAAAACTGTATATTGCTCTTTAATGAAAACAAATCAAGTTGCTGTTCAAGCATCGGATGCGCCAAGATTTTTCGGATCCGATGCAAAAAATCAGAAATGAAACGGACCCTTCTACGCGGAGTTATCGTTGTTTTCGTGATCGCTCCGAAACGGTACCTATTGCGACGTCGGAACCAACCGCGTTTCCCGTCCGCTGTCCCCCGCGCATTTACCTTACAGGCTCCCAACTCGTCAACCCGGCGTCCCCATCTCACTGGAGACATCGCGATCGAGGGCAGAGGCATCAGAGAGCAAGTGCTGAACTTCTGGGAGGTCGGCGGTGAGTCTTTCGCTCGTGATGAACGTACGCCCTCGCCGTCGTGGCTTTGACGTGGGCGGCGGCCGTGGGCCAGCCGTTTGCTTCTGACGTGGGCGTGTTCTCGACCACGAGACAAGCCCCCGCCTCCAGAAAACGCCCCAAGTGTCTAGGATATGATATGAGATGACTCTACGCGCTTAGTTTTTTATTTTTAATGCGTCGTTAACCCCTCTGGGACTGGGCTCCTCCCAGCCCGCAAGGCGAGCAGCCTGGAAATGCGGCGGGACTATTCGAAAAATAGGGGGTCCGCAGAGCAGAAACGTCGCTTCTCTCAACTGAAAAAGAGACTTCTTGTCTAGAAGTCGAACCTGGGCTAAACACGCACGGCGGCCGTGTCGCCGCCTTGCAACACGCTGGGTACGTCTGTCGGTACACTAGAAAGGTTCCTCGGCCCTCAAAACATCACCGCGATTGTGCGCTCCCTGCGTTTTTCACCATCTCGGGTTGTCCCGTGTAGTCTCAAAACCAGTAATACCAAAATGATCACAAAAAATGATCACTAAATGGGCATCGAAGTTCCCTGGGGCAATAGGTTACTTCTGTACTTCTCGAGAAATACATTGGCAGGCGTTCCGCCTGGGCGCGTTTACCGCTGCTCTTGGTTTCAAGTGTTTGTCTGCAAACACAAGCACACCAGCACACCACCATGTCTAGTATCCTCCCGGAGCCCGACGTTGCGGCCTACGATGATGGCAACGCCACGGCATGTCACGAGCAGCTCGTTCAGTTCCTGCAAGCAAACCCTCCCAGCGACGGAGACGACCTGCCGCGGGCACTCGCTTTTGAGATTGCCCACAAGGTGGGACTGCGGCACTGCACTCATGCATCGGAGCCGCACCCGCTGG